AACCACTGAGCTAAATCCCCGGCTTTTTTTTTTTTTTTTCAATACTAAGGATTTTTGTTTCTTTAAAAAATTTTTACATTTATTAGTACATGTTTTCAGTACATAAGGATTACATTCATCGTGGGAACTGGTACCATCCCTATACATAATACATCTTAATTCTTTTTACATTCCTTTCCTCTCCCCTCCCTCCTACCCACTTCTATGTCTTGGTCCATTTCCCATTTGCAAAGATCTATCTCTCTGTTTCCTATTATCCAGCTTTGGTTGAGACAGGGTCTCACTGTATAGTTCAGACTAGCCTTGAACTATGTAGCCCAGGCTGGCGACCTCAGCCTACTTACCTTTTATTTTTCTCTTCATTCATGCTTTGGGTTTCTCATATAAGAGAAACCATGCTGGGCAATTACCTCTTTTTATCTCCTTTGTAACCTTCTAGGGTTGCTGTGATAGATTAAATCAGGTAACACATGCTTGTTATACAGTAAATGCTCAATAAATGTTAGGTAGTATTTTTGTTCATTTTTTTAAAAGACAGAATCTCATTATGTAGCACAGGCTTGCCTTGAACACACTATGTAGCAGGCTGGCCTCAAACTCGAGGTAATCCTGCCTTAGACTTCTGAGTGCTGGGATTACAAGCATGTGCCACCGTGCCCAACTCAATGTCAGTCTTATTAAAGTGAAGTATTACAAAGTACCTAAATGTCCAAAACCGGGGGGGTTGTATATAAATTAGAATATACTCAACTTAATGCAGTCATTTAAAAGGATAAAGTACTTACCTATGTCTATTGTGTTTTGTTTTTTTCATACCAGGGACTGAACTCGGGACCTTGGACTTGCAAGGCAGGCAGCAGAACCACTGAGCTAAATCCCTGGCCCTACTGTATTTTGTTTTGAGATAAGAGTCCCACTGGGTAGTCCAGGTTGCACTTGAACTCACTATGTAGTCCAGGATGACCTCAACTTTGTGATCCTCCTGCTGTAGCCTCCCAAGTGCTAAAATTACAGGTGGGCACCACCATGCCCAGCTGACTATGTCTTTACCTATGAAAAGTAAACTAGAAATTCAAATTCTGAACTGTTAAGACTGATTATATTCAGGGGGAAGGATATGGACATGTATAGTTCAGAACTACTTTTCTAATTCTTCCTTATGAACTGTTCAAATTATTGCCTGCTGGAAGGTAAGAATTACTTTAATAATCAGAAAACTTTTTTCATTTTGAAAAAGAACCCTTTTGTGTGCATGTGTGTGTGTTTTGTCTGTGTGTGTTGTGTGTTGTGTGTGTTTGTGTGTGAGAAATTCTGGGGATTGAACCCACAGCCTTTACACTGAATTTATAGCCCTGTCTCAAGTCACTAAGTTGCCAAGGCTGGGCTTGAACTTAAATCGTCTTACCTCAGCTTCCCAGGTGCTAGGATTATAGGTGTGTGCTACCACACCTGGCTGAAAAAGAAAAAGTTTTGTTTTTTTTTTGGTACGGGGGATCAAACTCGGAACCTTGCGCTTTTGAGGCAGGCAGCAGAACCACTGAGCTAAATCCCCGGCCCATGAAAACTTTTAAAATGACAAAGCCATCCCCCTCAGGTGGCCTCAGAACACACTCACTGGGCATTGTTTCCGCTGGTCTCCTCATCAATGATTCCAGGCACAGCCTTTCCTGCAGCTCGACTAATTTCCCTAAAAGAAAAAAATTAAAATCTAATCAACAAAAACATTAGGGAACTTCACACTGAATAGTAAATATTCATGCAAGGATTTTGCAGACTTTGAGATATAACATTTAAAAATTAAAAGTACACCCCCCCCACACACCCTCTTCTAGGAAGCTTGTAAAGGTTAACATTAAAATATATTAGGGTTGGGCCAGGGATTTAGCTCAGTGGTTCTGCCACCTGCCTCGAAAGCTCAAGGTCCTGAGTTTGATCCCTGATACCAAAAAAACACAAAAAAACACAAAAAATAAATTAGGGTTGGGGCCGGGGATGTAGCTCAGTGGCACTGTGCCTGCCTGGCAAGCACAAGATCCTGAGTTCGATCCCCGGTACAAACAAACAAACAAAACAAAACAAACTATATATATACATACTATAAAAATACAGTTCCATTTTCTTGAGTCCTGAGGAAAGAAAGGGTCCATATCCTAGATGCACACTCTAGGGTCAACAGCGTTACCTGGCACATGGCAAGTTCAAGTGTGGAATAAGTAATTTTGAACATGGGATAAAGCTTACAGGGGGCATCTGATGTGGCCCCCTCATGCATTCTAGGATCCGAGAAAGTAGATTCTGTCCCAGGCTCCAAGAGATGACCTAGCTCTGCTACTTGGCCCACCTGGGATACACTCTGGCTAGGCCAGCTCAAAAGAGTAAGTGTCAGGACTACTCTTGCTGTAAATGCTGGGACCAAGGCATGCTCTCTTGTGGCACCTGGGTATGAATTTGGGAATGGTTATACTATTCAGCCTATACATACAAGAATGCAAAGCCAAGAGAATTGGAAAGAAACAGAACTGGAGCCCTAATGATATGAATCTTTCAGTTAATCCATACTCAAAACCTGCCCTACTTCTGGACTTTTCAATAATATGAATCAAAAAAAATCTCCTTACTGTTTAATCTCATTTACATTAAAATTTTCTATTACTTGCAACTGAAAGTATCCTGAGAAAAAGTGAATGGGAAATAAAGTTTCTAAAGATGGAGGAATATAATTTAATAAGCATTACTATAAAAATAAATTATAATGTAATGAAATAAAGCAAAAAGGCAAGAAAGGGAGAAATGGGACAGTGAAAAGAATGTGTGAGAAGAGCTGAGAGCCAGTTTTAAGGACATTTCTGCTTTTCAGCTTACCTGTTCAAAACTCCATTGGAAACCAGAGCTTCCTTAGGATGAAAATACTTGTAATACACATTTCTAACCACAGCATCTTAAAGAGAAAAAGAGGAGGTACATTTTAGATTGGAAATCAGATTGCAATGTATTATACATTCATACCAATGTTGACCTGAAAGGCACCATGGAAGTCTCTTCAATCCCTCGCATTTTCTTTCTTTTTTCTTTTCCCTCACATTTTCAATAGAAGCCTAGGCCCAGAAGGCTCAGGCTCCGGGTGAGCCCAAAAAGCTGAGTCATGTGACCCCAGCCCAGGCTGTTTCCATTATACCAGTGGGCCCAGAGGGCTATGATATGAACAAGAAATAGGAAATCAGTGCCTCTATTTAAAATGCTAATGATTACCATTGTTAACCATGATTCCATATTCTTCTAGTAGAAAGTTAATATTGGTGTCAAATCTGGATTCTCCACCTTCTCCTAGCATCACAAGGATATCTCCACCACTGTCCAGGTACTTCTTTAGGACTTCAAACTATACAAAGGGAAAATATCAATCTATGAATATGCTCAAAAGGCTTTTGTCCAAAATACTTGTATCTTAACTAGTTGAGAAATAATACTTCAAATCTATAAGGCATTTAAATTTAAATGTATATAGGATAATATAAAATATAGTCTACATGATCTCCAAGCTTGTCTTTGAGCACATAGTTCTAAAATAGTCACACTGCACTGCCATTTTCAAAGTCGAATATCTGGATAGCAAACCAAAAGTGGAAACTATTAGCTAAAGGAAGCTCACAAAATTGCATTCAGTAGCAGTCCTGGTGTATACCTATGAGATCTCAGACTAAAAGTGTCTCCAGACATTGCTAAATGTCCCCTTGAGAGGAGAGGAGAAAACAAAACCACCTCTGATTGTGAACCACTGATCTAGACCAGTGATGGCAAACCTTTTAGAGACCAAGTGCCCAAATTGCAACCTCAAACCGACTTATTTATTGCAAAGTGCCAACATGGCAATGAAACCTGAATATCCAATCCTCGGCTGCTGAGGCAGCTTGGCTAGTGTGCCAACAGAGAGGGCACCACTGATCTAGGCCATGTCTTCTCACTGCCCACCAGGGGTATCAGGATGAAGGCCTGTGTATACCCCAGGACAGAATTCTGCTTAAGGCCATTAGCCCACCAAACCACAGTGAGAAATGCAAATTATCTGTTTATTTCCTAGGAAGCTCTCTCTTGTTCTCACAAAGCTGAAGAAGAAAGAAGAATCTAGAGCTGACCTTGCTGACTCAGCCTGAGAAAACCTGTAGGTTATGGAGCTCAGACCAACAGTTTGTTTTTTTTCTTTGTACTGGGGATCGAACTCGGGTCCTTGCGCTTACGCAGCATGCGGCGAAACCACTGAGCTAAATCCCCACCCCATCAGACCAATAGTTTTTAACTTTCTTCACTAAGCACTCATCAGAAAAGAATGTGAACATGAACTCCTATATGTATATTTTTGTATATACATTTTATAATTTCAGACATACTCTCAAAAGAAGAAGTGTTTTAAGAATAAGAAAATTATGAATAACAGACACAATTTCCTTCTCAGTGCTCCCTCACACACATGCCCCTTTGGAAACCACTGGTCCAGACCAGCTGCCCAGCCCTCCTGCTCTTGCACACTCCCTGGATATCCTTCTCCCCTTGCCTACCCCACAATATAAACAAACAAACCAATCAATGATTTCAAGACAGTTTTTGTATGCTTGAGACAGGCTGTAGTCCAAGCTGGGCTTGAAGACATTGCCTAACTCCCTAGTGCTGGGATTACCGTGTGTACCACCATGCCTAGATCAAAATAAGTTTTCAACAAAGATCCTTTCCTTGGGCCTTATAACTCTTTTTTTTTAGGTTTTACTTTTTATTTTTTGGAAGCAAAACATTGATTGGTACCTTTTAGATATACACAATGATAACACTCAACATAGGAAATTTGCACCTGTACATAATATACCCTGCCTCTTCCCTTTTTCCCATTCCTCCCTCCTCTCGATCCCAATATACAAGCTGTTTCCATTTTTTCCTTCTATTTTCACTTTTTTTCTGTGTTCCCTTCCTTCCTTTCCCCCTCCCCGCTTCCTTGTTCCCTTTCCCATTTGAACATTTTCTTCCTATTTCCCAACATCCGGGACAGGGATTTAGCTCAGTGGTTCCGGCACCTGCCTTGCAAGTGCAAGGTCCCAAGTTCGATCCCTGGTACCAAAAAACCCCACCAACATCCATTATACGTTTTAGTCCTTATTTCCTCTTTCCGTTTCTTACATGAGACAAACAATGCTGTATTTACACATGTGTGTCCAATTTATTTCACTTAAGAGTATGGTCTCAAGGTGCATCCATTTAGCTATAAATGTCTCAAGTTTATCATTCTTTGTGACACAGTAGTACTCCATTGTATAAAAAAACCACATCTTTTTTATCCATTCATCAGCTGATGGGCATTTGGGTTGTTTCCAAGATTTAGCTATTACAAATTGTTAGGCTTTATAATCTAATGCCTCTTTTTTCTTTGCTTTTGTGGAAATGTGAAACTTACAACATGGTTACTGTTAGGTGTTTAATTTGTTTGATTCCCCTAGATTATCAGGTTCCTTGTGAGGTGGGATCATGTGCTACTTGACTCTGACCTCTATTGTCAGTCATAGGACCTCACACATAACTTGGCACATAAAAAGTCCCTAACAAATAGTTTTGGAAAAGGAAGGGGGGAATGAGGCATAATTACATGGATCCCAGATCCTACATAACAGACTGAATGTCTCACTATATTCTATTTGCCTTTTGCTTCCTCCTGAATTCCTGTCAAACTCCTTTTTCCATACTGGATAGCCCTAAATATCTGCTGTGTTCTATGACTGGTAACAACAAGGGAGGTCAAGCTTGCAGTACGCACAAACACACACACGCATACAGATATATTTTTTTCTCAGAACAGTTTTTGCTTGGGGACTGGTACTTATTACTGCCTGGTTCTGGACTTTGCTCATGGTATCTAAATGCTGTGGAAATAGAGTTGGTATTGTTACTCTTGTGTGCTGTTGGCTGTCTGGCATTTTGAGAAAGAGATACATGAAAGATATGGTCTGTAAATAACACAGTCGGGCAAAGGAGTGTCCACTGTTAAGTTTTAGAGCGTGAAAGCAAGTGTGGCAAGGTTGATATTACTGACACTGTATGATATGGGCCACTGGCTCTCAAGGGAAGTATTAAGCCATTTAGCAGGTATTCGGAATGTCATAATATTTGTTTTAAGGGCTTTTTAGTGGGGAGAAGGCAGCGATGGTAAAGGTGTCTTGCGATATTCAGACAAGTCCCACATAGTGAAGAACTGTCCTACAACTCTTAAATGTGTTTTCAGATAGTCATGTAAATTTAAAAAAGAAAAACAAGCAGCAGCAACAACAAAAACTGAGCCTAGACTTTAATACCTATTAATATATAAATACAAAGCATTTTTGTATGGATTAATATAAATCAAATTCCTAGATATACAACTACTGTGGAAATCAAGAGAAGAACTATACCTTTTCTTCAAAAAATTTACCAAGTTCGTCAGTATTTTGGAAAAATCACATCACCAATGGCAACATGGCTCATGATCTGAACTACCAATACAACACATCTGTATCAGGCTGCACTGGTACTCGTCCTATTCATGGTGAGTTTAGGTATTTACAGTAGTGCCTTGGTTCGTGAATTCTTCTTTTTTTGGTACCGGGGATCGAACTCGGGTCTTTGCGCTTGCGCAGCAGGCGGCGAAACCACTGAACTAAATCCCTGGCCCTTGTGAATTTAATTCTTTCCATGATGGTTGCAAACCAAAGTGGATGAGAATTGCATCAAATTTCCTCATAAGGTAAACACTGAACCTAACCATGGAATTTGATGCAGTTCTTGACCAATTCGGTTTGCAACCAGAACAGTGGAAAGAATTAAGTTTGTGAACCAAAGTACCACTGTATTTAACCTTTATTTTATATGTCAGATATTAAGAAATATTTCAGTGTATATATACACAAGAATTAACATGCTAAAATACACATATTCTCCTAGTGTACATATGCTTAAACAGTCATAATTTGAAATATTTTTGTTTTTTTGTGGTACTGGGGATGGAACCCACGACCCTCACACTGAGCTACACCCCTAGTCCATTTTTTATTTTTTATTTTGATACTATGTCTCACTAAATTGCTAAGTTGCCCAATCTGGGCTTGAATTTGTGATGCTCCTGCCTCAGCCTCCCATAGTGCTGGGATTACAGGCCTGTGCCACCACTCCAGCTACATATATTATGAATCGTCTTCTTTTAAATTCTTTACATAACAGGACATTGTGTTGACATATTTTTTAAATGGTGGTGGTGGAATATATGCATCTCACTTCATTTATACTATAGGCTGACATTGGTCTGACAGTGAAAACACTCATCTGAGCCATGTGGTCACCTGGTGGGTAACTAAATCCCATCACTACCAAGTGAGTGTGAAGAGTCACCACAGTTGAGGTGGGGAGCAGGGGAAAACTCTTCAGCCTGGTTTCGAGCCTGATGCTAGCATCTAATACCAGACAAATAATGTCCACCCTGACACAGAAGCTTCTGGAAGACAGTATCAAGGAGATGTCACAAAGCTCTGAGCAGTGAACTGACCCTGTTACTAGTCCTAGGAGGCTAGAAGAAATCATGAAAGCAATGCTCTCTTCCCTGGAAGACCCAGCTGACCATGGGGATCCACCCTCTGGAATAATAAAAATACAGGGAACATTGGTTCTTAGAAACCAAAGATTTTTCTGTTTTCCTTCCCTCCTTATTCCAACTCCAAAGAGAAGGATGGTGCCAGCAAATGGTCTGGTGGGAGGATATTTTATTTTTATTTTTTTATTTTTTTGGTCCCAGGGATTGAACTCGGGTCCTTGAGCTTGCGCAGCAGGTGACGAAACCACTGAGTTAAATCCCCGGCCCAGGAGGATATTTTATTAGGCTAAAGTTCCAAAGAGCAAGTCTGCCTCTCAAAGAACTTGTGGCTTTTGGAAGCC